TCCTCGGGCTCCTGCACCCACGGAGAAGACCCAGAAGACATGCTTGGTTCCAGATTGACTCAAGTTTAACCACTGTGGCCATTTGGGGAGTGAACCAGCAGATAGAAGACCATCTCTTCTTCTCTCTGTAAATCTGCCTTTCCAATAAGAATAAATCTTTAAAGAAGACTCTTGGTTCCCATAACCTCCTTCTCATTAATCTCAGAGAAGCCAAGGACCCCAGTCACAGCTCTGAGCCCTGAACAAGTGAAACCAGTTCCACTACACCTCCTCGAGGGCCCCAGAAATCAGTTTCAAACTCAGGATCCCCTTGGTCCAAACTCTGGGGTTCTCCCTACCAGGTGTACAGGTCCCTCCTCCTAGTAGAAAGATGAGGCCCTCCTCCCACCACACCCCTGCTCTGGCTGGCCCTGCACTGCCCACCCTTCCTGACCCTGGGGTCTTTATGCTGGGTGGAGTAATCCATCTTCTCCCCTTCCCACCCCACCCGTCTCTACCCCACCTAGTTTCCCCAAGCCCAGGGATGCCCCACCCAGCTTTTCAGAGAAAAAAAAAAAAGTTACAGAGGAAGAGCAAGGAGGGAGCTCCTTACCAGGAATTAAAGGAGGAGACTTGCCCCAGGGTGAGACCAGCGGGACTGAGCTGGCAGTCCCTGGCAGGTACCTGCAGATTCGGCTGAGGACCTGCAGACGTGTGCTCCAAGGTCACATAGGGGCTGCACAGCACACAGGCTGTTTACTATCAGGAACCCGGAGACTCAGACAAAGAACCAGAAAGTGGGGGACAGAGGGAACGAGAGGGGCCCAGACATTATAAAGGTACAATCAGATATGTGGAAAGGCAGGCCCACCTGGAACACAGAAAAGCATGCTTACGTAGGCTAACACACACACATATTACATGCACACACACGCTCGCGCACAGGCCAACTCAGAGCCAAGGTCATGTGTCAGGGAGGCTGATTGCAGTCGAAGCAGGTCAGAGTGCAACAGCAACATGGACAGTGGAGTAAGGAAGACCACTGTGGGTCGAAGGCACACATGCTGCTTCCCTGTCCACAGGCTTGGAATGAGGGAAAAAGAGGCTCCCCACAGCAAGAGACATTCTCTTACTAGAATTTACTGTCAGCCAGTGCTGGCCATGGAAAGCACATGGGGGGCGGGTTCCCTCCTGGACGTGGAGTGTCTCCTGGGCCCCAGCTAAGACCCAGGCTCCAGGTCCCAGCCACGCCTCTCCCCATCTCCAGAAGTTTAATGCTCTAGCTAGCAAGTTCCCAGCGCTGCCTGTTCTTCTATACCTTGTACATCCTCCCCTCTCTTCCTATACCCCTCCCCTGCCCAGGAAACTCAGCAGTTGAGAGGATGCCAAATTCAAAGACCTTAAAAATATCTAGCCTCAGCTCCCACCCCTACCCCCTGAGGTAACACTGAGGGGGAGGTTCCCATCCAGGGCCACCCACCCCCCCACATGTCTTTCTCTTGTCGAAGAGTCATAGGCAAGGAAACCGAAGGACGTAATTGTCACTCAGCTAGCCCAGGAGCCGCCCCCTGCCCTGCAGAGAGATGCATCCTGTTGCCTCCTGGGCCACCAGGTCAGGGGCAGCAGCTGGCTTTGAGAAAAGTGGATAGCATGGAGCGTGCTGGGAAGCATGGCATGACGTTGGGCGGGGTAGGAGGGGCGCCCCAAGAGGGACCACGCAGCTGGAAAGAAACTCAGCAGTCCACTGGCTTCCCCTTCCTCATGCTGTGGCCCCCAGGGAGGGGCCGCTCCCTCTGGCACCGGTCCCTCCAGCATTCCAGACACGCCTCTGGGGAGCCCGGGGACACCAAAGAGGCAGAGACAACTGAAGTGGAATTGCCTTCTCCCACCGTCACCCCTCCAGGCACAGTGCTGGCTGTGTGACCCTGCACAGGCCACCCACCCTCTCTGGGAATGGGAAAGGGGAGAACCAGAGTTGGCTCAGTCTCTAAAATGGGCCATCCTCCTGCCAGGCCTAATGTTCCTCTGGCTCTAAGGAGTTAACCCTGCAGGAAGATTTGCTGGGGAGGGCACACCCCTCACACAATTCTGAATGCAACCAAGGGAAGATTCTAGAAGGAAAAAGAAAATGCAAAGGGGCTCTCAGGGCTTAGGTTTGCTCAGGACCTTTCTTCTCTGGGCAATCAGGGTGCCAGGGCCGGTCAGTTCAGCTCCTTCCTTACTGGGCACAAGAGTGCCTCAGATTGACAAACTGAAACAGAAGAGATAGGGATGAAGACCATGGTGATTTCTGGGCTCAGAGAGCTGGTTGTACAAGATGGTAAAGAGTGGGAGACAGCAGGGACATCTTCCTGGAGGAAGAAGCACCAGAGATCCTGATTTAAATGAGTAGGAAGATTTGCTTGGGATTTTGCAGAGCGGGTCCAAAGGCAGGAGAGTGCAGGTGTGCACAGGCAGCTTAGGTGGAGCCTTGCAAGTGGGAAGGACAGGAGGCAAGTCCTGGAGGGGCTCAGGCAACAGGGAGGGTGTTGGATGTCAAAGGGAGGGGCAGGGAGAGGCAGGGAAAGAACATGTCATTCAGCAGGTATTTCCAGAAGGTCCCTCTGGTTGCTGTGTGGCCAACTCTGGTAGGCCCAGAGCTAGAGGCTGCGAGAGGACATTGTGGACAACGTCTGGGTGGAGATGGTTCCCATCTGGCTGATCTGCCTTTTGGACAGCTGTTCTCACCTTTGGGCAGCTTGGCCTTGGAAGAAAGTTCTTCCTTGTGTAAGGCTCAATCTGGCTTCCAGGCGGTGTGTGTGGGTGCAGGGACTTGGGGGAACAAACCAGGCTATTCACTGCACTGGGGATGTCCGGAGGATAGAAGGCTGGGAAAAGTGGGGAGCACCGGGTTCAAGATGAGGCTCAGTACTAGGCTGCTTGACTTCAGGCGTGTGACTGACCCCTGCCCAGCCAGCTGGGCATCTTGGTTATTTGTGGCTAGACACCCTGAAATTTCATAACTGACCCTGAAGCTGTTGCAACAGGCTAATCCTCCACCTGCACCGCTGGCAACCCATATGGCCACTGGTTCAATTCCCAGCTACTCCACTTCCTACTTCTGGCCTAAAAAGGCAGTGGAGGATGGTCAAAGTCTTGGGACCTTATCTATGAGTGAGAGACCTGGAAGAAACGTTTGTGTCTTGGCTTTGGATCAACTCAGTTCTGGCTGTTGTGCCCATCTGAAGAGTGAATGGTGGATAGGATACCTCTGTCTACCCCTCTCTGTAATTCTTGACTTTCAAGTAGAAAACATACTAAAAAAAAAAAAAAACAACAAAAAAAAAACTGGGCTCTAGCAGCTAAAGTCCTTGCCTTGCATACGCCAAAATCCCATATGGGCACCAGTTTTTTTTCTTTTAAAGATTTATTTTTATTGCAAAGTCAGATACACAGAGAGGAGGAGAGGTAGAGAGGAAGATCTTCCATCCAATGATTCACTCCCCAAGTGAGTGCAACAGCTAGTGCTATGCTGATCTGAAGCCAGGAGCCAGGAACCTCTTCCAGGATTCCCATGCAGGTATAAGGTCCCAAGCCTTTGAACTGTCCTCAACTGCTTTCCCAGGCCACAAGCAGGGAGCTGGATGGGAAGTGGGGCTGCCAGGATTAGAACCGGCGCCCATATGGGATCCAGGTGTGTTCAATGCAAGGACTTTAGCCGTTACGCCACACCACCGGGCCCTCGGCACCAGTTCTAATCCTGGCAGTGCCGCTTCCATTCCAGCACCCTGCTTGTGGCCTAGGAAAGCAGTTGAAGACAATCCAAAGCCTTGGGACCCTGCATCTATGTGGGAGACCTGGAGGAGGCTCTTGACTCCTGGCTTCAGATAGGTGCAGCTCCGGCCATTGCGGCCACTTGGGGAGTGAATCAATGGATGGAAGATCTTTCTCTGTCTCTCCTCCTCTCTGTATATCTGACTTTTCAATAACATAAAAAAAAGGGCCTGGTGCGGTGGCCTAGCAGTTAAAGTTCTTGCCTTGAACGCGCTGGGGTGCCATATGGGTGCCATTCAAATCCCGGAAGTTCCACTTCCCATCCAGCTCCCTGCTTGTGGCCTGGGAAAGCAGTTGAGGATGACCCAAAGATTTGGGACCCTGCACCCATGTGGGAGACCCGGAAGAAGCTCCTGGCTCCTGGCTTTGGACAGACTTATCTCTAGTCGTTGAGGACACTTGGGGAGTGAATCAACAAACTAAGATCTTTCTGTCTCTCCTCTTCTGTATAAATCTGACTTTCCAAGAAAAATAAGTAAATCTTCTTATAAAAATAAAGTAAAACAAGCAGATAATTGTACAATGGGCAGTTTCAAACATTCTTTTTATTGAGTTATATATATATGTATAAAAGGCCAAAGAGTGCATTCTTGAATGGAGGATTAAAGGGGTGAAGGTAAGGATCTCCCAACCCCCACCCCTCAGACTGTAACATCTGCTGTATATATATATATATATTTTTTTTTTTTAAAAAAAGCAAACATGAAAATGATGACCTGGACTTGACCCTTGTGCCTGAATTATTACAAAAACACCGCTCCTTCCTAGGTACAGCCACAATTCTGAGCTTCCCCGAGGTTTATAGAAGCTCCCACTGAGCACACACACACACACACACACACACACACACACACACACACACACACCCTCCGCACATCGCCCCAAGGGGCTCCTGAGACACCTGTTCCCGGCTCCCCCGTTCCTAAGACCCTGTCTTCCTCTGGGCGCTCCCTCAAGAGTGCAAAGCTTTTCCCACTCCGTCCCTTGTCCTGAACACCTGGGAAACCACACACACACACACACACACACACACACACACACACACACACACACACACACACACCCTGCTGTTCGTTCTCTCCTCCGTGAAACAAGGATGTATTGTCCCTCCTCCCCATCCCACCACAGCTGCAGTCCTTTCTGGGCAGGGTGCCAGGGAAACCCTAAAGGTTCAACAGGGTGAAAGGAGAGGGGGAGCTTGCTGGTCCGGGCAGGTTCAGGGAGGTGGCTCCCAGGGAGTGGCCCCTGCACAGTCCGTGGATGCTCCAGGGAGGGGCTGGGGGTGCTGCCCTCTCAGATCTGTTCCTTGTGCTTCATGTGGGCCAGCTTCACGTTCTCTGCCTCGGTGGAGGGGGGTGGCGGCTGCTCCAGGTGGCAGCCGATCATGAGCTGGTACACAAAGACGCCCGCGATGGAGCCCAGCAGGGGCGAGACGATGGGTACCCACCACCAATGCCGGCCAGTCCTAGGGGGCACAGACACACACGGGGCTGGTGGTAAGGGGTGGGCAAGGCGTAGAGGCAGGCTAAGTCAGTCGGGGAGTCAGAAGGAGCTACACTTACGTGAAAACCTCCGAGCCCCAACCTGCAATGGCCGTGAAAAGACGGGGGCCAAAGTCCCGAGCAGGGTTGACAGCATAGCCAGAGTTGAAGCCCATGGACGTGCCGATGACCAGGACCACCAGGCCTACAGTGAATGCTTCCAGGCCGCGGGGCACTGGGTTGTTGTAGGGGTCCACAATGGCCAATACGCACACAATGAGGGAAGCTGTGCCTATAAACTAGGAAGAAAGCAAGCAGGGTTGGAGCAGTTTCCTCTTCCCCTCCCCTGCCTCAGCATCCCCACCAGCTCCCTGGAACCCTGTCACCTCTCATGCATGTGTGCATGCAAGAGAATCTCTGGCAAGCCACCACCAGGGTCTGACACCGCAGGGTAGCTCAGGTTCCTGCTTCCTATGCGGCATACTCACAGCCCAGCGCATACCTGGTCGAAGAAGCCATTGACCATGTCCAAGTGTCCAGAGGGGTAGGTGGCAAAGATGCCCGCTGTGCCGTTGGGGCCAGACACGATAAATTCGTTGTTGGCAAAGCTCAGGATTGCATCTGGTGACAGATTAAACCAGAGTGGATGAGGGCAGAGGCCTGAGCCCAGCCTCACCTCTCTGGCTGGGCCTTCTGCACCTTCCCAGGGGTCACAGGTTGAATGTAATTACCGTCATGCCCTCTGGAAGCAGAAAGCTGAGGTGGCACAAGGCGGAGGGTTGAGACCTACTGTTGCCCAACTTGTTTCTCTCCCCTGTGCCCCCTACCTTGGCCTGTGTGTAAATGGGTGAGTCACGGGGCCCAGGAGCCCAGGCAGGCCCCAGTTATCTGTCATGGCAAAGCCTGGTGCCAGTAGGTCCCAACAGCAGAAGGCGGACAGTGGGGGAGGGCAGGGTGGGAAACACTTACCATAATATAGCCCAAAAACGATGCCAGCACCCAGGAAGGCTCCAAGCGTCTGTGCCAGGGTATAGACGGGCAGCTTGATCCAGGGCTCACGTGCCAGGAAGCACATGGCAAAGGTCACAGCAGGGTTCAGGTGGGCCCCTGGGCAGAGAGGGGAGATGGGGTCTGTAAGCCTCAGCCTGCCCCAGTGTGGAGTAGAGGCCAGTTTCTCCCATCACCACCAGTTGCTGGCAGGGAGAGAAGGATTTCCTGTGCACAGAATGGCAATGGGACTATGTCCCAGGTCAAGTGTGATCATCTCTGACTCCAAGTGTCTAGTTCTGCTTCCACCCACTCCTCTCCCAAAGGCCCCAGGCTGAGGCCACAGCTATGACCTGATGAGCTGCAATTGGCTGTATCACCCAGGTAGGATCCCTGGAGGGAATGGTATCCCGACACAAGGGCCAAAGTGGAGGGGAAGTGGAAAAGACCTTACCAGAGACCTGACCAGCAACCAGGACACCCAGTGTGACAGCAAAGCCAAAGGCCAGGTTGATGGTGAGGAAGCCACCGTGGGTGCCCCTGCTGAGCACAACCTGGGCGACAGAGCCACAGCCGAACATCTGTGTCCAGAAACAAAACGAGACAGGGAGGCTGAGACCCAGCAAGTCTGGCTCCAGAAGGAACGAAGCCGGCACCCTCCCACTTCATCATCCTGGGCTCTCGCACCTGGCTCACTCATGTGGCTGATTGCACCCCTCAGAGGAAGGAGCCAGACCCTCCCCAGGACCCCTACTCCAGTAACCCAACCCCAATACAACAAGGGCCTGTGGAGGTATGTGGAAGCCCGCTGTGTGACCAGGAATCTTAGGGGATGCCTACAGCACACTTTCACTGGCTTTTCTAAAAGGCCATCAGGAGGAGGGTATCTCTCCTCCAATACTTCAACCTGTTCCTCCTCCCCTGGGGGAGGAAAAGTTCTCACAACCTGCTCCACAGGAGCTCAAGTGTCAGGGTTGGGGCGGGGAGGGTGCAGTAAACCTGAGGAGGCCAGGTGAGGTCCTCGCTACATCCTCCCTCTCAGAACCCTCCCCCCTGCTCAACCTGCTTGCACCCCCTGCCCTCCACCTCACTTTGGACCTCCTCTTGCCAGCCACCCCAACCTTTGTGCCCTAGGTGTGCAGGCTCCCCATTCGGACAGGAATCCCAGTCCCAGAGACTCTGTGGAAGAGGGGAGATGGTGAGAGGGCTTAAGGGAGGCTCAAGGCTATAGCATTCTATAAGCACAGACCATGCTGTCTGGCTCCTCTGGCCAAAACATGGAACTACTTTGCAGGGTACCCACTGCAAAGAGCTGTCACCCTGAGCCACCAGCGTCCCTCAGGTTGCTCCAGCTCTTACCTCGTCTCTTCTCCCATCTCCCTATAACTAAAGGACTGTCCTTGCCAATGGGACAGTGCCAACGTCACTGGGCTGTCAAGCATTTTCATTATCATCCCTCAGAAAGACTAAGAGATAGTGGGCAATGCTGGCAGCAGTCAGGTAGGGCAAAGGTGGGCAGGCAGGTGAGAGCAAAGATCAGAGGTTGGCAGTGTGTGTGTGTGTGTGTGTGTGTGTGTGTGTGTGTGTGCAGCTGGGGGATGGTGAGGGGCAGGCATGAGGGTCTGGACACCCTGCCTCCTTAGGCAGGCCCTGGCTCAGCTCCTTGCCCGCCTGAGGCCCAGGCCTGGCTCAGTCCCAGGAGACCTTGGAGGGAGGAGCTGTTAGAGCCAGTTCCACCACCTTGGGGCTAATCTTCCTCTTCCTCCCAGTTCCAACTCTGCCCTCCCTCCCCCCACCCTGTGTTGTTGGCCAGCCTCCCCACCACCACCACCACCACACAAAGGGGCTTCTGTCACCCCAAAGCCAACCCTGATTTCCCCTCTGCAGGCTCTAGGTTCCCCTCACCCCAACCCTCACCTTGCCCCTTCAGGAGTCCCAGGCCTGGCACCCCCTTCCCCATTTCAGCAGCCCTCGAGGCTGTATTTTTCACTGACACCTGATGCCTGGGATCTACCTGCACCTGACCACCTTTCCCACAAACATGTAGCACCTTCCTTTTGTGGTCTGGGCTAAGCCAGGGACTCAACCTAAAGGGCTGACTGCTCCTTTGGTGAAACTGGAGGACACCCTTCCTTGCCCTGGCTGCCTGAAACAGCTGGCTGCATTCATACATCAGATAGGCAATGGCGGGGGCTCCCCCCATTCCCTTGCTGGCACAGATGATGGACGGGGGAGGGGGTTGGACTTGGCAAGGCCACTAGGCTTCAGAGAGGCTGTGGATGCATGGCCTACCTGCTCCCCCCCATCTCTTTCCAGACCATACTACATTGAGTATGGGCTTCCCTCCAATCTTATTTGCTCCCCAGAATACAGTGTTTGGCGGGCCTGGACCCTCTAGGGCTGGGCCGGGGGCAGGGTGGGGGAGCAGAGCCTAATACCCCACCCCCTGCCCTGAGCAACAGAACCCAGAAGGAAGCAGGTAAAGCACTTATGCAGCTAGAAACCAAAACTGTAACTGGGACAGTAAGAGTGGGGTGTTCTCCACCGGCCTGGAGAAGCCACCAAGCCACCCAGGAACAGTTGGAGGGATCCAAGCAGTAACCCAGGCTTCCGGAAGGGTGAAGGAAGGGCTGGGAGGTGATCCAGGGTCTGGCGGGGAGGGGGTCCTAGGCACTGGGGCAACTTTCACGTGCCCTAGTCCTTGGCCTTGGAGGCTCTCCCAAGGCTTCCTGCCCCAGAATCTCCCCTCCCTGGTGTTGGCGGCCCATTTGGTCTGAGCCCTCTGCCTCCACCAGCAGCCAACTGTCCAACTTTAGGACTTTCTCCGGCTAAATTATTAATTAGGGACCAGACACCCAGGACCCAATAACACACTAAATCTCATCTGCAGGAGTGACCCCTGGCCCCAGCCTACGGGAGGGTACAGGGTCAGAGTTGTCACAGGGATTACCAGCTGTCATCCTGGCCAGGTGGTGCTGTCACAGCTGAGGTTCCAACTGCAGAGAAGGAGTGGGAGGGAAAGGCAGGGATCAACCCCACCTGCCCGCCCACCTCCCAGTCAAATCTAGACCAGAGGTCTGGAAAATCACGGCACCTTGGGTGGACAGACAAGATCGGGGCGGGGGCGGGGTGTTACCGCGCTGGAGCTGACAGGCTCCCGGGCTCCCTCCACTCACCACGAGGATGAGGGTCCCCAGGCACTCCGCCAGCGCCTGGCGCAGCAGCCGATAACGGATGTGCAGCATCTCCCCGCAGCGGGACACCAGCTCCTTCTGTCGACCCATGGTGGGGGCAGGCGGCAGCAGCAGCAGCGGAGACTGCGGAGGGCGAAGCGAGTGGTGGCCTCGAGCGCCGGCGGTGGCGCCCTTTATACAAAGCGGCCAAGCCGCCCCGCCCCGCCAGCCAGCTCCGCCCCCGCTATGGGCGAGGAGGGGGCGGTCACCTCACCACCTAGCGTGGGAGGGCAGGGGGTGCGAGCAGCTATAAGGATGGGGTGATCTTCAGGGGGCGCTTAGGAGCCTGATGTCTGTGGAGCTGATTTGGGGCACCACTGGAGGGATCATGACTGGGAAGATAGGAGCTGCCAGGGAAGGAGAGTCAGGGTGGACAGGGCAGCAAAGCGAGCTGGCTCTGGGCTCTTTGGGATGGCCAGCTGCGCCCAGAAGGAGGCCATGGGCCCCAGCTGGACGCAGGTGCTGGCTTCCAACCAGAGTTCAAGGGCCTCTTGTGCAGTGAGCACATGTTGAATGTTGCACATCCTAGCCAGCTCTGTCCACAGCTGGGTCCCACACGCGCGTGTGTGCTGAATGACTGATCACTCGTCCCCAGGGCTCCTGGTGACTGGGTACACGCCTGTTGAACACGGATGGGCCCGTCTAGCCCACACACATGTACCTGCGAGCCTGGGCCTCACATGGCCCCAAAGGCTGAGCTACATTTGTCCTGGCATGCATGCTCTTTGCCAAATTCTTGCCAGCAGGGAATGTTCCAGCTGCTGCTGGGCGCCCTCTGCTCTTCCCCAGAAAGTCTGTCCCTTTAAAACATGAAGCTGGCTGAACTGTGGGAGCCTCATCTCTAGGAGGTCAAGGGGCAAGCCTTGCACACTGTGCTGTGTGTAACAAGGAACCTCAAGGCAGGGGCTGCAGGAGCAATGAGGGTACTGCCGCTGCACTGCGGCTTAGCAAGTTAAGCCTCTGCCATCCCAGATGGGCACCAGTTCAAGTCCTGACTGCTTCACTTCCAATTCAGCTCCCTGCTTATAGCCTGGGGAAGGCAGTACAAGATGACCCTAAGTCCTTTGTCCCCTTCCACCGTGTGGGAAACCCAAAAGCTCCTGGCTCCTGGCTTTGGATTGGCTCAGCTCGAGCCTTTACAGCCATTTGGGGAGTTAGCCAGTGGATGGAGGATCTCTCTCTGTTTCTGATCTTTGTAAAATCTACCTTTCAAATAAAAATAAATAATTCTTGAGCCTGGCACAATAGTTAATGGTTAAATCCTTGCCTTGCATGTGCCAGGATCCCATGTAGGCTCCAATTCATGTCCCAGCTGTTCCACTTACCATCCAGCTCCCTGCTCCCTGCTTGTGGTCTGGGAGGGCAGTGGAGGATGGTCCAAAGCCTTGCAATCCTGCACCTGCATGGGAAACCTAGAAGAAGGTACTGGCTCCTGGCTTCAGATTGGCTCAACTCTGGTCGTTGTGGTCACTTGGGGAGTGAGTCAGTGGATGGAGGGTCTTTCTCTCTTATCTCTCCTCTCTGTCAATCTGCCTTTCCAATAAAAAATGTAAAAATTTAAAATTAAAACAAGTAAACAAATAAATTTAAAAAGAAAAAAATGCGGGTGAGGGTTTTGGCAGGGATCAGCCTGGGGTTAGGGTTAGCCCTGTTCCTCCCATGGCACAGACACATGCCTCTAGGTCAGGCAGCATTGGTAGGGGCATGCCACACCCAAACAAAAGATTCCAAGGAAGCTAAGGACCCTGGGGACTTAACCCCTAAAGAATGGCTATGAGAAATGAGAGCTTCCAGTCCTAGAAGGTGATTCAAGCCCAAAGAGATGAGGTTTAGCTAAGTGCACGGGTTAATTCACACACCAGCAGGTGCATGTGTATACACATTCTCCAGCACGCAGTCGCAAGCTCACCTAAAGAACTGCACTCACCTGAGAAGCTGACCATAGGAGCGCACACGCACACACACCACACACACTCTCCCAGCCCTTGCTTCCTTGGCCCACAGAGATGCACCCCTCCCTCTCCAGCCGGGTCCCCAGGGGCTGGGAGGCCCCATGGTGAATCAGAAAACCATCACCCAATGCCTGCCCCCTGGCCCCATTGCCAAACTGTGACTCAAGACAGAGCCCCAGACTCCTGGTGCCAGAGCCCAGACCACAGGCTATGCGAGCAGGGGATCAGCCCTGCCTGTGCTCTCCTCCCACCCTCTCTACCTTATGGTGTGCATCTCACAGGGCAGACTGGGGTCAGGGAATCCGCCACCACTGAAAGAAAGCAGGAATCCCAAGCCGCAGCACCTGTCCTCATCCTGCCCCATCCTGTCCCTCACCTGGGCCTGTTGGCAGCAAATCTGACCATGAGCAGGGGGAACACAACATGGGCCACAGCTGCCACACAAGGGCCCTGTGCACATGTGTGCTCATGCTTAGCTCACATGGGTGAACACATGTGCTGCACTGGGAGGCCGGGTTCTACCCACGCTGTGGATTAGTGTGCCTTGTTAACACTAAGCAGTGTTCATTGCAACATGTGCTGTGCATGAATATGTGTGTATATGTGCCTGTCCATAGCCTAGGTCTGCAGCTCACTAGAGAGCATCTTCATGACTCCCACCAACGTGGCTGATACCCGAGGCTCAGCGAAGAGATCTGAATGCCCTCTTCCCCTTTCCTCCTTCAGTCAGGGTCCAACCTTGAGGACCATGTGTTCCAAGCACTCCATGCCCTCCTTCCAGACTCACTCCTGTCCATGTGAGTGAGTGCACACATTGACGTAGGTGTACATGTGTGCTCCTGGGATGGTGAGTGTGGTTTTTTTGTTTGTTTGTTTTGACTGGCAGGTCTTCACGCTTCTTTGTGGATGTGAGATTTCACTGCTGGGAAGAGGAAAAGGAAGCAATGCCTTCCACAGACCCCTTATTCCTCAAGTCACCTGGAACACAGAGGGGTCATGGGAGGCTGTACAGAAGTGTCAGGCTGGACCCAGGATAGGGGGACAGAAGCGGGGCAGCCTTGCTATTGGGCTCCATTGCCAAGGTCCATGCAGTCAGCTTCTCCAGGAGCAGCAGAAGGCAGAGGAAGCTGGCATTACAGACAAGGGGGCTGGGCTTAGCGAGGCAGGAGCCTCTGAGTCACAGGGCGGCTTACCCGGAGTTCTCCAGGCTCCCCCTGGCGCTTCGGGAAGGGAAGCCTGGGGCCAGGCACCCAGGGAGGAGACAGGGCGTCTTGAGCAAGTTGTATGTCTCACCTGGGTGGGAGGACTGAGCCAGAGAAGGGGCTGGACACCCAGGACGCCCACCGTGGGAGTTTGTGACTCCTTTCAAGGTCAGAGGCAGAGAAGGACTGAGATGCAGGTTCCAGCCTGTTGGGCTAGAGGGGTTGGCAGGGCCCTTGAAGGAGTAAGGGAGGCACACCCCTTCATTTCCTGCCCCCTAGATTCTGCCCAAATGGGAGCAGCTGGAACCAGTGAAGGGGAGGGTGGAGATAGAGAAAACATCTCACTCTAGCATGCCCCCCAAAGTGTGTCCCAGGTCCCCTAACCTCCTCTAGTGTTCTCAAGTTGAGAAAGCACTTCCTACTGCTTTGCAAAAACAACTCCCAAAGTGGATGACTTCTCCCCATTTCCCAGATGACAAAATTAAGGTTTGCAGAGATTTCACCTGCCAGGATCAATGAGCTATGGAATGCTGGGCCATGATTTAAGACAGGTGGACCAATGAAGAAGACAAGAAGACCTAGAAGCAAGGAGACCTAGAATGGGGTGGGCCTTTGACACAGTGATTAAGCCCTCACTTGGGATGCCCACACCCCACAGGCTTGTTCAAGTCCTGGCTACTTTCTACTGATCCTCTTATGTGTACTGGGGAGGCATCTAGGGATGGTCCCAATACTTGGGTCCCTAGCACCCATGTGAGGAAACCCAGATGGAGCTCAGACTCCTGATTTAAGCTCACCCTGGGTGTTACAGGCTTTTGTAGAATGAACCAGTGAATAGAAGATCTTTCTCTGTGTCCCTCTGCCTTTTAAATAAAATTAAATAATACTTTCTGCTTGTTTGTTTAATGAGAACAAGCAAGGGAGTAACCAGACAGCTATAGATCTGAGGCTTAGGAGTGAGGGGGCTCAGGAAGCAGGTGCCAGAGCTCCCAAAGGCCTCCACTCATAGGCTACTGGTGAATACTATTCCTGCTGCTGCACATGGACAGTTGGGGGCTGACTCTGGACAGGCCTGGGGAGGGGAGAGCAGACCCGATCATGAGCATCCCAAGGCTGAGGAACAGGCAGGCAACTCCTCCTCCCCTGCCTACACAACGAGCCCCTATTCCCAGGTGGGCGAGAGGACAGTACAAACCCCTTGCTTGAGCACCTCTGGCTGGATGTCCAGCTCACCTTGAGAGCATTCCTCTTTTGGTCTCTGTCCTGGAACCCCGGCTCCTCCCTCTCGTTGCTGAGCTGCTTCAGCAACCTTTGAGGGATTATGACAACGGCGTGGGGGTGGGGGGGAGTCCTGGAGAGGAGGCAGAGGAGGCCTGCTGATGGGCAGAACCCTCTCAAACACCTGGTCTGGCCCCATCGACCAGTCATGTAATACTCCACAGCTCCTCAACCTGCCCACTCCTCCTCCCAGTCTGTTTCTTTACCAGCCACCTGCAGGTTTCAGCTGGAGGAGGCTTCCCACTTCCGGGTCCATATAAAAAATCAAACCAAATTGTGCCTGCTTCAGGTTTCGGCAGCTTCTACAGTTCACAAGGGAGGCCAGATCTGTAACATATTCCTTGAGTGGGTGCCCCCTTGGCAGCCCTGTGCACATATGGCTGTGTGGCCCATGTGTGTTTGTCTGTATGTACCCACTGTGGTCAGTGGGCATGTCCTTATCTGCAGCCTTGTCTCGGCCTTGCTGGGAGGCTGGGTCTGGTGTTTTTAAGAGCTGGAGATAAGACATGGGGTCTGCTGAGGAATCTGGAGGGGAACTGCTGGATTCTGGGGCTGCCCTAAGCTAGCCTACAGAACAGGGAGAGAGAAGTCAGTGACACGGAGGTGACAAAGACCAGGCCCCAGGTGTCTGAAGGGCTCTGGGTCACACCTCAGAAACCAGGCACCAGAATTTGTCATTCTATCTTCACCACCAGGGCAGCTTCTGGAACCAAGATAAGAATACTGCAGAAGGTGAGGGGTCAGGGCCAGGAGCTAAGGATAGGAAAGCTTATGGCTTCCTGGGTGTTAACCCAGTGCCCTACAACAAGGAAAGGGGACTGGCAATCAGAGGATTTCCTACAGGAGGAAATGTTTAGCTACGGATTTTGTGAAGGCCTTTCTAGGGCCAAATTCTAACAGGGACAATCAGCTGTCCTGGTCTTGAAGACAGTAGCAGAGATCCTGGACAAGAGGATGGGGAGTTTGGGAAGGACTTTGGGTTCCACACGCCAAGGGTCTAGACCTCATGCAGGGGGGGCCAAAGATCCTGGGGCTGCACTTGTGAGCAAAGGCTCTCCCTGGGACTGTGGCAGCTGGAGGTGCTGGGGAGAGGGTAGCCAAGCAGGCAAAGGCTGGCCTCACCGCCTCCAGCCACTCACAGCACACTCTGAACAGGCCTGCCAATGGTAGCTAATGGCACTCCCGAAGGTTTCTGAGCCATTTGGAAGGCTCCCTCCAGCTGCCAATTGGCCGTGGGTTGAGGGATTGTCAGGGGAAAGGTGAAGGCCAAGGGCCCTAGGAACAGACAGGTGAGGAAAAGAAACCAGACAACACAGGCTATGGCTGGAGGGAGGCAGGATTTGCAGGCTGAGGGAAGAGGGCAGCTGGGCAAGAAGCTGAAGGTAAAGGAGGTGGGCAGGAGCCTGGGACCTGCAGTCGGAGGGCAGGAGCAGCAGGCAGTGGAGGCAAAGGTGGCGAAGAGGCTGTGCATCCGGCCTGCCAGGAAGCTGATGAGTGTGTGTGAGCCAGCCTTACTCTACCTGCATCCCAGCCCTGGCTGGCTGCTTAATTACAGGGCAGCCACCGGCCACTGCCCTGAGGGAGAGGAGTCACAAGGAACGATGCCAGGGAGCTGTCAGGCTGCAGAACTTTGGGGCTTGGGTCTCTGGAGCATCGTGGAGGCAGCCTGGGGCAAGGCAAGGACGCCACAACTGACCAAGTGGGCATGGTGAGCGGGCTGCCTCTCAGTGTTCCCTTGCCCATTAGTCAGGGACCAACCTTGGCTTCTTCCTTCTCTAGGAGACCCAATCCCTGCCCTGTAGAGGTTTCTGGGGTGGGAGAAGTAGACAGCTGGATCACGGGAGTGGAGATTTCAGGTTTCATTTATTTAAAAGGTAGAGACACACAAGATGGAAGGAAGATCTTCCATTTGGCTGATGCATTCTTCAAAACGCCTGCAGTAGCCAGAACTGAGCCTTGTCAAAGCCAGAAGCCCAGAATTCCACTTGGAGTCTTCCTTAATATCCAGTGACTAAAGCTGTCATCTGCTGCCTCCCAGGTACACATTAGCAGGGAACTGGGCCTAGGAATGGAGCCAGGACCTAAACTCAGGCACTCAGATAAGGGATGTAGGAGTCCTGTCTTTTTTTTTTTTTTCAGATTTATTTATTTTTTATTGGAAAGATAGATATACAGAGAGGAGGAGAGATAGAGAGGAAGATCTTCTGTCTGATGATTCTCTCCGCAAGCTGCTGCGACGGCCAGAACTTATCTGATCCGAAGCTAGGGGCCAGGAGCTTCTTCCAGGTCTCCCAAGCAGGTGCAGAGTCCCAAGGCTTTGGGCCGTCCTCTACTGCTTTCCCATGCCACAAGCAGGAAGTGGAGCCATTGGGATACAAACCCGCGCTCATATGGGATCCTGGCACGTTCAAAGCAAGGACTTAAGGCACTAGGCTACTGAGCTGGGCCCAGTGGGTGTCCTGTTTTAACTACTGCACCCAACGTCCACCCTGGAGTGGAGGCAGAGCAGCACACACACTCCAGCTTTCTCCCTGTCCTTGACCCTGATGCTAACAGCTGCCCTTCAGCAACCCTGCGCAGGGATAGGAGAAAGGCTTTGGGCAGCCAGAAACAGAGAGGAGGAGGCTGAGCTTTCTCCTGCTCCCCTGGCCCACCAACAGAACCTGCAGCTCAAGCTGTTCTTGTCCTTGTTCTCCGCCGTTCCTGTCTCCCAGGAAAGCCTGGCTCAGCAGAAGCCATCTACCCCGGCTAATACACCTGGGTTCTCTGTAGTCCCAACCCCTAGGTCCCTGGGTGACCTCAGACAAGTTCTTACACCTCTCTGGGTCTTTCACAAACCAAACTCTGCTCCCCACCTCCTCCCAGAGCTTAGGTGGGGAGGAAATTTCCCTCTGGGTTTGGGACGCCCCTCTGCTTGCCTCCCTTTAATTCCCTGGGGCAACCTGAGACACCTTTCTCTTTCCTCTCCATGCTGTGGGACAGGCAGGTTGGCAGGGCAGGGGTGAGTCACGTGCCCTCGGCTTCTCCTCTCCCTTCTCGCTCACCTGGATAATGAGTGACTCACAAAGCAAGCACCGGATGTTGGGGGGGTGTATTACATATACATTTTGGGGGAGGGGATGAGACCAAAGCCGACCTAACAAAGGTCAGGGACTGAACAGCACTTAGGAAAGTTATCTGCTGCATGGACGGCTTGGGGTCCCAAGCAGAAGGAAGGTCTCCAATTAAGATTCTGATGCAGAGGATGTTGTCAGAGAGGACCCTCTGAGAGTTCATTAACGTGAGTGACACAGAGAGGTTTAGGTGGATCAATAGTGATTCAAGATCCATGGGCAGCCCAGCTAGGGGGAAGCTCAGAGGGAATCCAGGATCCCTGACCCCTCCTTGGTTGCTGCTTCTCCTGGAACTTGCTCTCCACAGCCAGAGCTGAAGGCAAAAACCTACACACTTACAGATGAGTGCACACACAGCACAGCTGTCATGTCCTACATCAGAAACTCGTCCCTCGTCTTTGTATTCCTCTGCAATGCTGGGTGCAGAGGCCCCTGAAGCAGGCACGCCAGGGACTGCAAAACCTATGCCACCCCATGCACACCTGCTCACTCCTAGGGCTTCTAGCAAACTCCCCAGCTGCCTTTCCCACCTTCAGCCCTGCTACATCAGCCCAAGTACCCTGCTACTCTGAAACCCTTAGAGTGGCCAAGTAAGCTTTGTCATGGGCTGCCGTGAAACAGGGTTGAGGTCTTGAACATCAGACTCCTTGCCTACATCCAAGAAATGAAAGCAAAAGGGGTCCAAGTGTCCATGTAAGAGACTGAAGTTGGAACCTGGGATTCCAGCCCCTCGGTTAACAGGGAGCAGGGAGTGTAGGAAGGGGTGGTGAAGTTCCTAGGAATTGAGTTTTCAGCCTTCTTTCTTTGATACATTGGGCACTCTGTGCTTGACAAGTCACTGTCATGCCCATTCTACAGATGGGGAGACTGAGCCCAGCAAGAGGATTTATTGGATAGTTTGGATAGCTAGCAACCTCTGGCCAATTGGATAGTTTGAAACTGGCTAGCAACCTCTGGCAAGCCCCGAGAGCCCAAAGTCTCACAGCAAGCCCCAGGGACCAATGAGAAGGGAATGGAAGGTTCCACAGATGACAGCAGATCACAGACAGGGCTTTGAAAGGGATGACACTTTTTTTTCCCCAATATTTATTTATTTTTATTGGAAAGGAAGATATACAGAAAGGAGATACAGAAAGATCCTCTGTCCACTATTCACTCCCCAAGTGGCCACAACAGCTGGAGCTAAGCTCATCTGAAGCCAGGTACCAAGAGCTTCTTCTGGGTTTCCCACAGTTTGAATTCCAAAGCTTTGGGCTGTCCTCCACTGCTTTCCCAGGCCACAAGCAGGGAGCTGGACAGGAAATAGAGCAGCCAGAACATGAACCAACACCCATATGGGATCCCAGCGCATGCAAGGTAAGGATTCAGCCACTAGGCCATTGTGCCAGGCACTGGGATGACACTTTTCACACAGAGTATAGCCTGGCATATTGACTAAAAAAATAATCATGAATGAGTCTATGAAAGAGATGTAAACCCCAGCACACACAGCATTTCAGCCCTATGCTGAGCTGCCCCAATGACAGTGAGGATGGGAGATGGCCACTTGATGTCATCCTAGGATCCCCAATGTAGAGCATGTTCCGAGGGTACTGCTTAAATGGTTTCAGTAGATCTGTACTTATTTAAGATTTGTTGGGCCCGGTGGCATGGCCTAGCAGCTGAATTCCTCACCTAGAGCGTGCCGGGATCCCATGCGGGCGCCGGTTCTAATTCCAGCAGCTCCACTTCCCATCCAGCTCCCTGCTTGTGGCCTGGGAAGCAGTCAAGGACGGCCCAAAGCTTTGGGACCCTGCACCAGTGTGGGATATCCGGAGGAAGTTCCTGGATCCTGGCTTTGGAATGGCTTAGCATTGGCCGTTGCGCTCACTTGGGGAGTGAATCAACAGATGGAACATCTTCCTCTGTCTCTCCCTCTCTGTATATCTGACTTTGATAAACATAAAATAAATCTTATATATAAAAAAAAGAGTTGTTGTATCTTTGATAGTTACCCAGAGAGAAAGAGGTCTTCTATCCACTGGTTCACTCCCCAGCTGGAACTGAGACAATCCAAAGCCAGGAGCCAGGATCCTCTTCTGGATGTACCAGATGGGTGTAGTGGCCCAAGCACCTGAGCCATCTTCTGCTGTTACCTCCGACCATAAGCAGGATACTGGATAGCAAGTAGAACAGCCAGGACAAGAACTGGTATCTATATAGATGCTGGCACTACTAGATGGATGATTAGCACTGGCCAGATCAGGATCCTTCTTCCCCTTTGGAGCCTCTTGGTGGCCTTCCTTGTCTCCCATCTGCCTGGCTCAGGGCCAACCCTGCACACAGCTGCATCCTACTTGAGTCAAGCCCCATATCAAATGCCATGAACAACACTGAGACATCTGTGTCCAAACACGTTCTCTGTCCAAAGAAGTCAGTACACAGACCAGCTGAAACCCAGGGGGAAATGGGAGGTGAGCCAGAAACACGGAAGAATGAAGCAATTTAATTTTCTATTAAAGTTAAAGACAATGCAAGAGAGTGCACTCCACTAGATGTGGCTGCCAAGTGAACTGAATGAATATTCACACTTGACTATTCCGAGGCAAGATCCCTTCAGGCTGGGGGGTGAGGGCAGGGCCTAAGGAGGGGCACTATTTGAGCTGAATCTGGAAAAACAGCCAGGATTAGGAGAGACAGAGAAGCAGGGAGAGGCTGCCAGAAAGGGGGTGTGGAGCACACGGAAAGGAGGTGGCTCTCATCCCTCCTCCCTGAGGCCTGGGGGAGCAGGATAATGGCCCATCACCTCTGTAACCTAGCTCAGGTGCAGAGCAGGGGGGTCAAATTGAGGATCATGGCAGAGCAGCAGGGCCAGGGATAGCACCCAATGTTTCCAGAGTCCCTTATGGATTGAAAGTGCCCTGGTGACCCTTCTCCCCGACCCAGCCCCTTCCTGTGCTCTGTACTTTTCCACTGTCTCCTCCCTGGGAAGCAACAGCACCAGCACAGGAGGGCATTGTGCCCCTTCAATGTGGTCCATTCATGTCCACTTGGCCTCTGTGCCCCTGCTCGGGGACCCTTGGGGGAGCCACATCTTTGCTGGGTCCCATCTCAAGTCTTGGCACTGCAGTTGAAGGCACACTGGGATCTTTGCACAGGCCCTGGCAGTGGGAAAGTGGATATGCCATCCTCTCCAAATGCTTCCAGGAGAAGCAGGTCAAAAACACACAAAATAAACAAATGAAATAGGTCCAGGCCAGGTGGACAGGTGAATAGGTTTCCTAGGTTCAGCTCACTGTCCTGAGTTGGTTCCCATAAGACATCATGGTCCTCATTCTGGCACTGGTACACTGGACAGTTAGTTAGGGCAAGGCTCCTGTTAGGGATTACAGGGCATCAGGACATCAGGCTTGCTGCAGAAGGTTCTTATGCAGTGAAGGTAGTCACCCTGTTGACATCTTGTTGCAGAATGCCAGTGTCCTGCTGCCTATCTCAGGCTTGCTCTGGGGTCAGCATCACACAGTCCACCTCTCACTTCGGACCTCCACAGCTTGCACCAGGCCTTCCCCCAGCACAGCAAAGTCCTCCAGGATTGCTTCTATGTTGGGGACCATCGCCAGCTCCTCACTCTTAGACAGCAACGTGCACCCCTTCATGCTAGAGGCCTAGGTAAAAGAAACGCATAGTAAGGTGTTTCAATGAAACATCTGGAATGAGGCCAGTGGTGGGGCAGGGATCGTGGAGATGTGCACACAAGCCCACACACTCCACACCTGACACAGACACTTGTGACCACATGTGGAAACACAGCCGTCCCAGGCCAGCATACCTTGAATGGCTGGGGCTGGAAGCTGGTGGGTTTCCAGAGAACACCAATCACCTCCCCACCATGTCGGTCATAGAAGAAAAGGGCTAGATCACCAAAGGCCTCCTGGGAAGGATGAAACAGCCAAGGTTATAGGTGGGTGGCTGGGAGCCTCCTCCATGGCCCAGCTCCACGTGGGCTTCCTCAAAGTTGGACAGTCCTTGGGGACCTACCCTGAGCTGTGCCAGGTAGAGCTGAGGAGGATCATAGCCCAGCACAGGCATCAGTGACGAGGGCCCTGGCTTGCTGAGCAGACCTCGGCAGAAGGAGGCAGCAGGTGAGTCCACAGCCTGGCGGTGCCGGGGTATGTGACGGGGAGAAAGGCGGATCAGCACATCATATATGTCCAAGGGCGGCCGGAACACTGTCTAAGGAAGCAAGAAGGAGGGATCAGCGGCACCCCCTGGAGCTAGGAACAGGACCAAAATCCCCACAACATGCCTACTTTGGGCCCTTTCCTCCATCTGACCCCATGACAGGCTTGTGTGCCTATCAGAGGGCAGGCACACCACCAAGAGCCATAGAGGAAGCAGCAGGGGCCGACTCCGGTACAGAAAGCATGCAGGGGGTAGCCGGAGGCTGTCGGGGCCCAGGCTTTTCCGCAGGCTCCACGGTGGCTTCTACACCTTCTCCAGACCCCAGCTGACTGAGCAACCTAAAGAAGACTCCTTGAATTCTGGACTTGTGAGGTTCGAGGGCAATCCCCCGAGACGCTGGACTCAGTGCTGACCAGGGGCTTACCCTGATGTCCCCATGCCCCCGGGGATCTATCAGCTGCTTCTCTAGGACAGGCAGGGCCTCAGCTGCCAGGACCACAAGCCGCTGCAGGATCTGCAGGGTAGAGAAATGTCAGCTGGGAAATAACCATGGGTATCTCCCAGCTCAGGCCTAGGCAAAGGAAAAAAATGAAATCATATATTTCATAGGCAGGTATAGGGCTGAACCTGGGCTGTGGGTCCATTCTGCGTCCACACGGAACTCTTGCGGTCCTGCGGGGTAATGATGACCATGACAGGGAGCTGGGTCCGAGCTGCCAGGAAGCCACTCCGGATCTCAGCCTGCTCCTCCACTAGACATAAGGGGGTACTGGGTTAGTCTCCCCTTCCCTGTCTGACACCCTCTACCATCCCAGGTCCTCCTATGGTGTCCCTATCAGAGATAGATTTTCCATCACCCCTCCTCCAAAAGGCAAAGGCGATGAAAGGGACACAAGGGACATGGCACCTGTCTTATCTGGGTGTGGCGTTAATCTCCCAACCTCAGCACAGAGGCAGAATTTTCCACTGCCTGGTACCCCCAGCCTAGATTCCAGGCCTCACTAGCTGAGGCCTGCCCTCTCCCAATCCCCCCCACCCCTACTCCCACACACCTGGGGAATTGAGAACCTGATACCCTGCTCCCTGCTGAGACTGGGGAGCTCTTCATGTTACAACAGGAAACCACCACTTCCACCCGACTCTAACCTCACTCACTAACAGAACTTCTCACCTGCTGCTCATGGGCCCCTCCTGTCCTTCTCTACCCTCCAGGGCCCCTAGGTAACCTGTGACCAGCTCTGATCTGTTCTTTTTACTGATTTGTTTTTATGCAAGAGACAGGCAGACAGGGACAAATCCTCCACCTGCTGACTTGATCCCCAAAATCCCCCAATGGCTAGCACTGGGCCAGGCCAAAGCCAAGAGGTGGGAATGCCATCTGTAGCCCCAGTACATTCTGTCACTACCACAAGTATAGACGGTGTCTCTATAGCCAGGTTTCAGTCATGGACACTTGTTCCCGACAGTTCCCGACCTGAGACCCTCAGTGCTGGGTGTAGAAATCCAGGAAGAGGGAGACAAGGAGGAAACCCAACAGACTGGCTGGGAAGCTCCTTGCTGCCACAGCCTTCTAGCTCTTCTAGCAGCCTGACCCCAGTCCCACCACTTACCACTGAGCTCACTGTTGAGGTTGACGATGAGGGGGTTGTTTTTCCAATCGAAAGTTGAAATCAGGAAAAGGAATCGGAGGAAGCCAACCTGGGGGGAGCTGAATGGAAGGAGTGAGCAAACCATCTGGGGTCCCCATCCCCAAAGCTCATTGCACAATCCGGGCAGCCCAGGGCCACTGGGGTGGATAGTGGGAGGGCAGGGGGTCTTGCAACCCTTTCATCCCTGGCTTGAGTTCCCAGCTCCTATTTTAAGTGTGGCAAGAAGGTGGAAAGCAGGTCCTGGGGGCAGTCACCTGGGAGGCGTAAAGGGCTCTGGATGCAGGAAAAGGAAGGCAGCCACCAGATCCAGGCTCTCATCGGTGAACTCCTCTCCCAGAAGCTGGGCGCGCACCCACCGTTTGGCCAGCCGGGCAACGCCAGAAAAGGCGGGGTGCTGCTGTTGGAGCCTGACAGTGGGAGGGGGGCAAGAAGAGCAGCAATGAGAAGCAAGCTCTTGGGAGCCAGGACGGTACCTAAGGCCCACTCCTACCCTCACCCAATGCTGGGCTTGAGTCTTTTATCTCAAGTCCTCCTAGGGCACCGGAGATTGACCCTATTAGCGCTGCTATGACGTTATGGAGCAGAATCCTTACTCAGGAGGATGTAGTGGGTGAGGGTCAGGACCCAAACTTGCACACACACATCCCCCACACCTACTCTTCCAGAGACAACCTGGAGGAGAGCAGAGTGGGGACAGGGAAGGGTCTGCAAACAAAAGCCTGGCATGCAGCCTTACCCATGCAGGGCGCTGGACAGCAAGGGCAGCTGCCTCGTGTCCCTCTCTAGCCGAAGGGAGGCAGGCGTGTCCCTCAGTGAGATCATCCCTTCGGGGCTCCGAATCTCCTTCAGGATCTGGGGCTCCCGCTGATAGGCCACCCGGATGCGGAACACAAACCCATCCTATTGAAGAGGGGGTTGCAAAGTGGAACCAGGAGACAGGATCCAGCCTGGAATTCCCAAGGTATCCTCTTCCACTCCGACACCCCCTGCCCCATACCAGCCTGACCTTGAGGACATCAGTATGGGTGGCGGTGGCGCGGCACCGCAACCCATGCTGTTGTGACAGCAGCTCTGCCAGGCGCAGTTGGAAGGCAGCTCGGACCCGCTGTATGGCCTCGGCATCCTGTGGCCACTGACCGCTGCCCTCCAGGTGGCAAATCACTGAGAAAGCAGATGAGAAGGGATTGTACAGTAGCTCGGAGTGGGAAAGGGCTTGCTCATACTCTCCCCTGAGCCCTCTTACCGCTCATGGGCTCCACATAGGCCGGACAGGGCTTATCAGGCCGGGGTAACAAGGAGGCCCGTTCTTGGAGATGCCCATGGAAGGAGGGGACTGGCCAGACGGGAGCTGGTGGGAACACCTGTAGAAGAGGGGTGGGGGTAGACACTGAGTCTGTGGCCTGAGGCGGGTGGGGGAGCATGGAGCAGGGCGGGATCATCTGGCAGGCAAGGCTCTCTGCCTCTGCTGCAGCTCACCTCTGTGTATCGCAGTACTGGGTGTGCCCCCTGGACAGCAGCCACAGTCAGAGGGAGTCCCTCCAGCCCCCACAGCAGGCGGCTGAGGTCGTCGTAGCAGCGCACAGCTGCTGCCAGGGCTTCCTCCCCAGTGCTGGAGTTCTGAGGGGTAAAGGACTGAATCAGTGGGGGCAGCATCCCTTAAAACTCATGGCCCAGGCAGCAGTGGAACCAACACCCCCTCTACTGGACACTACAGAAAGTGCAGCCTGCCTTGAACACAAAAGCCGGTTTTCTCCTGCTTCACTGCAGTTGCTAGTCTGGAACCAAAGCCCTTACTTACGTCTTTGGGGCCTTGAATGAGGGTGTCCAGGAGGCCCCCAGTGTAGTGGATGCAGGTATCTGGGATGTCAGCATGTCTGAAGGAAGAGATACACAGTGAAGGCAGCAGGGTAATGGCCCCCAGTAGCAGGTAGGCTTTCCACCCCAGAGGTCTGAGCCAGACCCTCCTCCAAAGCTATCCCAGCCTACCACTGCCTCCTGGCATCCAGAGGCTATTACACTCACACTGCTAAGAGGTGGGTAACCACCTGGTGGGGAATAAGGCGCTTCTGGAACATTGAGGCTGCCTCCCAGACCACAGCTTCCCGGATGGCTCCATCCTGGAAGCGTCGAAGCTCCGAGCGGGACCCCCAGAACTGGCGGAAGTCAGCAGCCTGAGGAGAGGTCAGGACACAAAGGCTCTAAGAAGTCTTTGTGGCACGCTTCAGTGCAGACCGCAGAAGGATCATCCGCTCCACGCCCCCCCAGGGCGAGTACTGGACTCCTCACCTCCGGCTGATCGGCCTCTGGACCCAGTTCAAGAACACTGGTCAATCCTTCAGGTCGGAGGAGCAAGCCCAAGGTCAGGGTCCCAGCGTCTTTGTGCTTTGGTGGCTCCTGGCTAATGTCCCACTGGAGGGTTGAAAACGGCTGAGCTCAACACAAGCACCCCCTAGCCTGGCCTGTAGCTGCTTGGAAGTCCTCCAGCAGAATCAAATTTTAAGGGATGGTGTAGCTGTTTGTTGTTGTTGTTAAGATGTACTTATTTTTATTGGAAAGACAGAAAGATCCTGCATCCCCTGGTTCATTCCCCAAATGGCTGAAATGGTTAGAGCTGAGCCAATCCAAACCAAGGAGCTTCTTCCTTGTCCCCCATAGGGGTGCATGGTCCCAAGGCTTTGGGTCACCCTCCACTGATCGTCCCGGCCACAAGCAGGGTGTTGGGTGGGAAGTGGAGCACTCAGGATGTGAACCAGCTCCCATATGGGATACCAGTGTTTGGAGAAGGAGAATAGCCATATGAGACATTGTGTTGGCTCCAGATGGTGTATCCTTTTATGTCCTTGGGACCCTGGATACAGCCCCACTCACTCAAAAATTCTCTAAACTCATGCCACTTTACCTCTGGGACTGGAAGTCTAGAGTGAGCCAGCAGGTGCAGTCGGGAGCCCAAGCCCTGCTCCAGGAGGGCAGTCAGTGGGCCCAGTGCAGCCGAGACATAGTCCCCACCATGGTCCTGCAGCTCTTGCCAGAGTTTCAGCTTGTGACATGCTGCCTGTAGGCGACTCAGTGGACGGAGGCTGGGAGGGCAAAGAGGGGGAATCAGGGTTGGTTAGCCCTAGGACCACCAACCCCCAGGGACATCTAAGCACCTGCTGGATGACCCTAGCCCATCACTGCAGCCTCCCTCTTCCCCCAACACTCACTGCAGGAGGTGGTCAAAAGTCCGGACCATGGGTTTGGGAGTCATCAACAGCAGCTGAAGCCCATCGTCAGTTTTGCTGTCCAGCAATGCCATGGACAGCCGTGCCTCCTGCTGTACCTGAAGCCACAGGGCAAGGAGCACCGCTGCTGTAGCCCTTGCTGACCAACAGCTCTCCCAGACATGCCTGCCCCAAGCTCTGTGGGGGTAGGTGTGGCACTGATGCAGGGGACACAGCCAGGGCCGAAATGCTGGGGGAACATGAGAGTAGGAGTGGGAACCCGCTGGTACCTGGTGGTAGGTGGAGGCAGTGACATCAGCACAGAGGTTGAGCCGGCCAGAGGGGTCCAGAAAGACAACAGGGAAGGCCTGGTGGAAGTCAGCTGGAGCTGGCTTTGGGGGGAGAGGCAGAGAAGCCAGTCAGGATTGGGGACTTACTTTCAAGCCAACAACACATAGCTAGACCTTCCCTGACTCACCAAGCTGGGGTCTGCGTTGAGACACAAACTGATCCCATTGGTGGTAAGATCAGTGGTGGCTGAAGGAACCAGAGAAGGTTAGTGTTGCTCAGAAGGTCCTCCTTTCACTGGACTGTTAAGGATGCCCTCCCTTGGCCAGGGGTGGGCATCACCACTCATCTCTAGGACAGTCTGCTCCTCTGCCAACTGGCAAAGAATCACAGGACTCTCTGCTGGGATGAAGGGGTCCCTTTACCGTGTACAGCCCAGCCCAGCCCAGCCCGGCTGTCTCACCCAGAAACTGTAAGGCGCTTCGCAGGACCTGGTAGCCACTCATGGTGGTGTGGATCTTGCGTGTGGACACAAGGAAGGCCACCAGCATGGAGATAAGAAAGCCACTAAACCCGCCCCGGCCCTGAAAGTGAGATGACCGGAGACACATGAGATCAGAGGCAGCCCATTGCATGCCAAGGCAGCAGGGAGGGTGGGCTGCCTACAACGCACCTTGTCCAGCTCCCGCTGCCGCAGCCAGACCTTCAGAAGTGCCACGCCGTCCTTTAGCCCTGGGGATGAGCCCAGCACAGTAGAGAGCAGCTGCACATGGGACTCGAGGGCAGTATCCTGCAGAACCCAGGTGTTATAATGGGGGGTAGGAGGCTCTGGGCTACCTGTGGGAGGAAAAGGAAAACTGTCATAAAAGGCCCCCACCACACCCGTTCCCTCCAGCTCCACCAGAAGACAAGCGCTGGCTCACCAGCTTCTGGAGGATTCTGCCCTTGGAACCAGGCCGAGCGCACGTTGTTCTTGGTTGGCAACAAGCGACACGGGCGGAAGAAGTCGGGTGGAGGGCACGGATATAGACGCACGGTGACCAGGCGTTCATCCTTTCCTGGATGGAGGCAGAAGGTGCTGAGATCTTGCAGCCTGGGGGCCTGCAGGAGTCTCCATACCATGCCCTCTCACACCTGAGGGCCCCATTTCCTCCCCGTCACAGATTTTGAGGTGCCTACAGCAATCCCTCTCACAGTGGAGGTCCAAGCCTCTTCCCTGGTCTTGACCTCGTGTCTCTGCCCCTCTCAGATCTGCCCTCCCACCCTGAGCCAACACCTAGTATATGTCTCCTACCACTTGGCCGCAGCAACAAGGAGGGCTTCAGGTGGCAGCCATGGGTGTAGGAGAAGCGTACACTGCCAAAGAGTGGGTCTTGGGCCAGGTGGTGAGCCAAGTGTGCCAGGTAGAGGGCACGCTTGCGGAAGTAGCGTTGGTTCAGCCCATCTTTGTCCTGCAGGATTTCCTGGAAAGACAAGGCGAGGAGAAATATGGCCAGTCCCACAGGTAGTTACAGGGCTCAGGGGCAAGATGGAGCGAGCTAAGAGAGTTCCAGCACCTCTTGAGGATCAAAGGGCTGATCCAGTCCCAGCAACGCTGTTCCCCATTTCCAGGGTGAGCTATCCCTCAAGCCTTAGACCTTACCCTGGGCATGGTCAGTGTCATGTCCACATTGATGTCTGGCCGGATGCATGTGCCTAGGAGGTAGCTGCCCACAACAGTGACGTGGGCAGGGGGCAGGAAGCGGAAACAGCCTTTCACGGTGTAGGGTACTTGGTGAACAGGAACTCGAACCCCAGCCGGGAGCCAGGACTGGTCAGTGAGCTGTGAGGAGCATACAGTGACACATGGTGATTTTTGCCTGCATTACATGGCCCCACGATACCTTCTAGACATCCTGACACACCAGTATGTTCAAATCCAAATGCCCAACCTTCTCCATCACGGCAACTCCATACTAGATACTCAGGCTAAAGCCATTTAAGCCAGCTTGACTCATTCTTTGTTAACCATTTTTCATCTACATTCAGAAATGGACCACTTCTCTGCAAGTCCCTACGTAGATGCCCCGAGTTTACTTTTGTTCCCCTTCACTCTGCTTTCCAACAAATCGAGTGAACTTTCAAAAAAAGAAAAAAAAAAAAAAAACCGAAACCTCTTAAAACCAGATGGGGTTGTAGGAGCAGGTTAAGTCACCCTCTGCGATGCTAGTTCTATGAGTGCTGGTCTGAGTTCAGCCTGCTCTGCCTCTAAGCCAAATCCCTGCTCTTGTGCCTCAGAAAGCAGCAGATATTGGCCCAAGTGTTTAGGCTCCTGCATCCTCACGGGAGATCTGCATGGAATTCCAGGCTATAGGTTTTGGCATGGGGTAACTCCAGCCGTCACAGCCATGTAGGGAGTGAATCAGAGGACAGAAGAGCTCTCTCTGCCTTTCAAGTAAATAAGTAAATCTTAAAAACAAAATAAGAAAACAACCAACCTGGAGAAGTAATCCTAAAGATCACTGCTCTGAAAAACCCCAGCAGCTCCCCGTGTCCCCTATAACAGGAGCCAAAGTCCTTATTTTAGTATACAAGGCCCTGCAGGAGGGTCTGGTATTGTGGCATACTGGATTAAGCCACTACTGGTGACGCTTGCATCCCACATCAGAATGCTAGCTTGAGGCCCGAATGTTCAGCTTCCAATCTAACTTCTTCAATTAAGCCTCTGGGAAGGCTGCAGGTGAAGGCTTGAGTACTTGGATCCCTGCCACTCACATGAGAAACCAGGATGGAGTCTCTGGCTCTTGGCTTCAGTCTGATTTATGAACTCTGGCTGTTGCAGCCATTTGGGGAGTGAACCAATAGATGGAAGAGCTCTGTCTCTTTCTCTCCATCATTCTGCCTTAAATGAGTCCCATGTGCAGCTGCTCTCCACTGCCTTAAAAGTAAAATAAAGCTAAAATAAAATAAAATAAAAGGCTCTGCATCATCTGTGGCTTTCTGCCCTAACTTTCTGAACCTATCTCCTTCTACTTTGCATTCACTGACTCTGAGGACTGCCCCAGGTACATTCTGCTATGAGCCTCCCCTGTCCTGGGATATTCTTTCTTTAGGAATCCATCTGGCTCACTTGCTGCCTTCAAGTTGTTTCATAAATCTCATTTCAACAAGGTTGACCTCAAATGCTTCATTTAAAATTGCAAACCATTGGGCCCAGCAAAGTAGCCTACTGGCTAAAGTCCTCACCTTGCACGTGCCAGGATTCCAGGTGGATGTCAGTTCGTATCCTGGCTGCTCAACTTCCCATCCAGCTCCCTGTTTAGGGCCTGGGAAAGCAGTGGAGGACAGCCCAAAGCATTGGAACCTGCACTCACATGGGAGACCCAAGTAGAGGTTCCTGGCTCCTGACTTAGGATTGGCTCAGCTCTGGCCATAGCGGCCACTTGGGAAGTGGACGGAAGATCTTTCTCTCTGTATATCTGCCTTTCTAATAAAAATAAATAAATCTAAAAAACATAAGTTGCAAGCCACTTTCATCTCCTCTTCCTTGTACCTTAGTTTGCTTTTTCCCATTTATCACCTCCCAACACAGCCATACTGCTTACTTGTCATGGCTCACTAGTTACCGTCCATAATTTCAACATCACATGATAAGATACAGTGCCCGGCATAGTAGCTTAGTGGCTAAAGTCCTCGCCTTGCATGCACCAGGATCCCATAGATGCACCGGTTCATATCCCGACTATTCCACTTCCCTTCCAGCTTCTCACTTATGGCTTGGAAAAACAATGGAGTAACGCCCAGAGCCTTGGGAACCTGCACCCGTGTGGGAGACCTGGAGGAAGCTCCTGGCTCTGGACTGGACTGGTTTGGCTCCAGCCATTGCGGCCACTTGGGGAGTGAAGCAACAAATGGAAGATCTTTTTCTCTGTCTTTCCTTCTGTCCATAAATCTGACTTCCCAACAAAAATAAATAAATCTTAAAAGAAAAAGATGATGATGTTTTTCTCTTTTGGTAACCAGCATATCACAATAACACAAATAGTGTAAGACATAGAGATACTTGCTGAATGAATAAAAACATAAATTCCTACACGCCCATTTGAGCTCTTCCGGGACCCTAAGCTTGCAAGAAAATGCAAGGCCCCCATTTGGGAAGCTCACACAGAAGTCCGCTTGGCCAGGCCACCGGCTTTACCTCTGTCTCGGGGACTGAGGGCACCTTCATGAGCCTCTGGTTAATCTCCCTTAGGAAGGCATCGATCCGATCCTTCTTCTTCTCCGACACTCTCACTTCCTTTAATAGCTCCTCTACCTGCAAGGGAGGGCAAAGCAAGAGTCTGTCAGCCTGAGGGTCCTACCTCTCTCAGCAACCACAGCCCCCCCAAACAAACAGGACCTGTAAGCGAAGCAAGCTGGAATGGAACAGACTCTCGGTCTCTCGGAGACGATTCAGCTCCTCATTGGTGGGCTCCTTATACAGTTCTGCCCTGCTGAGCTTCACAGGCTGCAGGAGTCCACTGGTGGGAGAGCCAGCTGCCGGCCGCTTCTTGGAGGATGTCTTCCTCGCCTTCCTGCCCTCCCTGCCTGTGTCTTCCGGGACTGATTCCACGGCCTGTGGTCGGAAAGGAAGAAGTCGATGTGATCAGGACATCTGCTGCCTGAAGTCCCACCAGGACATGCTGTGGGTTAAAGCTTCATGGGCTCCTGGTTCCTCCTCTGAGTGGGTGTCAATTCTCAAACTCAAGAACAGTGATCTGGGGGAACATCTCTTGAATTCCAGACTGCAAATTCTTTAACTTGAGGTTCTCTGTCATACCTGACAATACAAGCATGGAACTCTGCTTGCAGGTAGCTGGGGTAGAAGCTGCTTTAAGCCCTGCCCTACGTGACATCAAAGCCCTTTATATGGATAGGTGCTAAGAAAAATCTGGAATCCTCCTCTTCTGCTGACACCGGCTGGAACCTTTCAAATATTTTCCCCACATCCAAATTCCGCCAGGTTCCATCTGCCCCAGCTCACCGGAACAGAGTGCTTACTGAGAAGGAGCTGGAGCCTACAGGGCTTCTTGCATGCACTAAGTAGATCATTCAATCCTCACAATAATCCTTTTAGACACTCCCATCACTCACTCCCAAGTTCCACAGCTAGTGTACCCGTCCCGCGAGCAGGCCTGAAACCTAATTCGGTCAGATCCCATACTTTGCCCTGTCCTAGAGCTGCATGCCAGTACCCTCCACGATCCCACACAAACTATGAGGAGAAAGATCCAATTTGACAGCAAGGCACGAAGAGGTCAAGGGAATGACCCAGGCCGTTAAATCTGCCAAGGAGGCTGAGGCTTAGTAGGCCCCAATCCTGCTCCCCACCTCCCTTTCCAAATCCCCAACTGTTGCAGCGCCTCAGCAACGTGGCTCCTCTACGCTGACGCCCGGGCGTCCCTCCCCCGCCCTCTCGAGGCAGGGTGTGCACATCGAGCGTTTCAACCCACCGCCGGCTCTCCAGGACCTCCGCGATGCTCGCCGGCAGGGGCCGGACCCATGGCTGGGTCTCCCGCACTTCGGATTCAACACAGCTTAGCCTCCCACGTGGGCGGAAATGCTGCGCTCGGCAGCCTCACTACCGGCGAACCGCGTTCCCAGGACTCCACCCACTCCGGAGCCATAGGGCTAAGGGGTCGACAGGTTGCTCACCATTGGTTTCCGTGTTCAAGGCCCGCCCACCTTGGGAGGAACCCAACGGGAGTCCGAAAGGGACGGGTTAGTCGTGATGAGACACCGGAAGGCTGCCAGTCGCGGCTTCCTGTTTCGCTCACTTCCGCTTCTGGAGTCTAAACCGGAAGGGTGAGGTTAGTTTAGGGTTGTGTTGTTGGAATTGTTTTGTTTACCTCAGTGAATCCTTTTGCATTGTCAATAAACAATTAATATTAGTGCTGCCGCCAAAATATACTCTGAACCTACCAATTTTTTTGCTCCAGGTTTGGTCTAGGTCACAATTATCTTGTACTTAACAATTGTAATAGTTTTTCTCCAACTTTTACTTACGATTAAAAATTCAAATGGTTAAAATGATCGAAAGTATAGAGATTGTAAACACAGAAACGTTGAATGAACAGTATAATGGACTCTCACAAACCTTTCAAAATGTAGCGTTGACGTTTTACAAAGCTTATCTTTTTCTGTATATGTATATATTATTTTGCAAAGCCGTTTTAAAATCAATTGCAAACGTCTCTAAATACTTTGGGAAGTATTTAGATCACAACTCCGTCTTACATAAACATCATCCATTTATAAGTTTCAGGAAAATTAGCTTTGAATCTTATTTTGTAAATTCCATATTCAAATTTGCCAATTATGCTAATAATAGCCTTGTGTTATTGTATCTTATTTCCTGCATCGAGATAGTGTATTGTGTTTTGTTGTCATGTTTCTTTGTTTTAATCTGTAACATTCCCGGACCTTTCCTTTTTTTCAAGGGGGTGTTTATGATGACATTTTTGGAGAATATAGGAGTTTTAAATCTTGAACTTTTTAGAAGATTTATTTTTTAAAGAACGATTTTTATTGCAAAGGCAGATTTACAAGGAGAAGGAGGGACATTCAAATAATTTAAACATTCTTATCAAAGAGGGCAACGATGTTAAGTTCCCAGGACAAAAAGGCATGGTAAAATATGGAAACTCCAAAGTAGTTCAGTATAACTGGGGCATGAAATTTGAATGAAATTTTGCTGACTGCTGTTAATGTTCTTTGTTAAGTTATGTCTAAGTGAGTGCCAAAAGTTAGATCTTCTATCCACTGGTTCATTCCTCAAGTAGCCACAAGGGCCGGAGCTGAGCCAATCCAAACCCAGGAACCAGGAGCTTATTCCAGGTCTTCCACATGGGTGCAGGGTCCCAAGGTTTTAGACCATCCTCGAACACTTTCTTAGGCCTCAAACAAGGAACTGGATAGAATGGAACAGCTGGGACATAAACTGGCGTTCATATAGGATGCTACACCTGAAGATGGGGGATTAGCCAATGAGCCATGATGCCTAGATATTTGCCGAATAAACAAATGACTTTCTTGTGGGTGGACAATATAGGTAAACAATTGATTGAAGTACAGTATTGGGAGTGGTATGAAGTACTGTGGACACATGACACTGGGAACATTGCAGGGAAGTGAGGTAACTCGTGTCAACTCCAGATGTCCTGTCCACTTCTTCCTGAATGACTCTGAATCACTTTAGATTTCAGGTTGCCTTAGTTTGCTCAGTAAAATGGATTTTCCAATAATGACTGCACCATAAATTTTTTTCTTTCTTGAGGATTCAATAAGGCTTATCACATAATGATGATGCCTTATTAAGGATTCAATAAGAACCTGTCACATAATGATGATGCTTAGAAAATGCTAGCTGTTACTGTTTAGTGGCCCTCTAGGGGGAAGAAGTGCTTTTTTGTTTGCTTTTGTTTTAATTAAGAAATGTTTTTTCTTAAAACTTATTTGAAAGGCAGAGAGAGAGAAAGCGACTGATGCTTCATGTGCAGTTTAACTTGCCAGATGCCCACAACTGCTATGCTGGGCCTGATCAAAATCAGGAACAAGGGGCCCGGCGCGGTGGCGCAAGTGGTTAAAGGTCCTCGCCTTGCACGCCCGGGATCCCATATGGGCGCCGGTTCTAATCCCGGCAGCCCCGCTTCCCTTCCAGCTCCCTGCCTGTGGCCTGGGAAAGCAGTCGAGGACGGCCCAAAGCTTTGGGACCCTGCACCCACATGGGAGACCCGGAAGAGGCTCCTGGCTTCGGATCAGCATAGTATTGGCCCGTTGCGCTCACTTGGGGAGTGAATCATCAGATGGAAGATCTTCCTCTCTGTCTCTCCTCTCTGTACATCTGCCTTTCCAATAACAAAATAATAAAAACAAAATCTTTAAAAAAAATCAGGAACAAGGAAGTATATTTGGGTCTCCTATGTGCATGGCAGGACCCGGATTCTTATGCCATCATCTATTGTCTCCCACAATGCATTAGCAGGAAGATGGATCAGAAGTGGATGCAAGGGCCCAGTGCGATAGCGTAGTGTTTAAAGTCCTCGCCTTGCATGTGCTGCCAGGATCCCATATGGTCACCGGTTCTAATCCTGGTAGCCCCACTTCCCATCCAGCTCCCTGCTTGTAGCCTGGGAAAGCAGTAGAAGACAGTCCAAAGCCTTGGGATCCTGCACCGTGTGGGAGACCCAGAAGAGATCCTGGCTCCTGGCTTTGGATTGGCGCAGCATCAGCCGTTGTGTTTATTTGAGGAGTGAATCATCGGATGGAAGATCTTGCTCTCTGTCTCTCCACTCTGTCTCTCCTCCTCTCTGTATATCTGCCTTTCCAATAAATAAAAAAAATCTTTAAGAAAAAGTGGATGCAGAATATATCCCATACCCTATACAGCAGCTTAGGCTGGCACACCTAAATGCTTGCCTCTGATTCTGGCTCCTTCTAAGCAGTATCCAGGTATGTTAACATGTTAAATGAAAAGAATATTGATCCCTTAAAAAGAATCATTTTATAATGCCAAAATCAGCCTTCCTAAATCAAATACTCCTCCATTCATTTATTTGACCAAGATTTCTTTATCTTGTCAGAAGAAAGAAAATGGAGAGTCCCTTACCAGGTCCCTTACCTTACAGGCAGAGGGTAGGTCTTCTGTTTTTTATTGTCACCACCAGAGGGCAGTACTCAGTCAGGGTGGTGTTTACCTGCGATTAGGAAACCTGAGAGAGCTCTAGGAAGCAGTTTCCACCCATTCTTTCTTTGACCATATTTCTGACTGCTCAGTATGTACCAGACATAGAGTTACTGGTATATAGTTGTGGACTCTATAGTCTTTTGAGAACCTTCTGTGTGTCTGTGTGGTAGAAGGGGTGTTCAATTGTTGATTTTAGGTTTACTGATTGCCCTTCTGCCCTTGGCCATGAATCTCTAAGAACAATACTTGACATCTACTTTGTGTTATTGTGCTGGTTACTGAGGATACGGTGATGAATAAGACAGTCTTCAGCTTAGTAATTAATTATGTCTTATCAGCAAAGATTAAAAAAAAAATTAGTGCTATGGAATTCCACTTCCTTCAATGTGGGACTGGGCATACCGAGAATCTCCCAGTGAAGGCGATGCCCACTGTGGATTCTTAACATGACTTTGTGAATTGATTTAAGCCCAAGGAGCAGTTTCTGATCTAGGTGCCAGGTGTGTGTTCCAGTGAGGTAAAGCTGGTGCTCCGTCATCCTAGGGATCAGGGTGAGGCTGTGATGAGTTCATGCGGGTGAACTGCTTTGAAGATGAACTTGCTGCCTATTTGTCTACTCATAGCATTGCTATTTGGGGTGTCAACATCCTAGCCCACATCTCCAGGTCAGCACTCCTCTTGTCCCTAAATGTTGTAGTGGAGGAGGAAAAGCCAGACTCCTGTTGTACAGCATCATTTTGGGCAGGGTTAGCATGGCCGGAACACTTCCTCTTCCCTAAAGGGAGCTCTTCATTTCAGAGGGGGTTTGAATGAAGCCCTGACCTAGACGGTAAGGCTGGCGGGGGGGGCCTAGGAAGGGATGCCCTAAAATGTTGAGACTCTGGGGAGGCCACCTGGCTCATGGGTTAATTAGAATGCTGCTTGGCATGCCCCAGTCCCATGTTGCAGTGCCTTGATTTGAATTCCATCTTTGTTTTTGATCTTTGCCTCAAACGACAATGTAAAGAACTAACAACAACAAAAAAGAACTAATAACAAAAAAACTAACCTGAGACTTCATCTTTGAGGGGGAAAACAACAACATGTATGGATTTCACATAATGACTTCCTCCTAAACAGCATTGTGTAGAAAAAGGGTGGAGAGACCTGACACACTACCTCAGCCAGGTGGTGAAGGTCAACATCAACACTGCTAAGTCAGGTGCTACTTCATGCCTCAGATATGATGCGATGTAAATGGCATGTATCTCTTAGATCCTTCCCTTAAGAGAGCCATAACACCCAGTATATCTGACCATGAGGAAAACAGTGGAAGCCTTACATGAGGAACATTCTGTAAACATGATCAAGTACTCTTCAAAACTGTGAAAGTGATAAAAAAAAAAAAAAACACAGGGAAAGTCTGGGCTCAGTGCACGAGCCTAGTGGCTAAAGTCCTCATCTTGTATGAGCCAGAATCCATTTTGGGGACTGATTTGTGTCCTGGCTGCTCCACTGCCCTTCCAGCTCCCCGCTTGTGGCCTGGGAAAGCAGTTGAGGACAGCCCAAGGCCTTGGGATCCTGTACATACATGGAAGATCTGGAAGAAACTCCTGGCTCCTGGCTTCAGATCAGATCTGGCCATTGCAGCCACTTGGGGAGTGAAGCAGGGGATGGAAGATCTTCCTCTCTGTATCACCTCTGCTCAGTATTTCTACCTTTCCAATAAAAACAACTAATTTTTTAAAAGGAAAATCCAAGAAATTGACACATTTCAGAAGAGCATAGGAAGACAGGAAAGCTCAAAGCAGTCTGGTATTCCAGATGGAAACTGAGAGCACAAATAGGACCTTACATAAAACTAAAAAAACATGA